TCATTCTAATGTACATGGATATAACACAAGAAATGCGGAGGATCTCGTGCCTTCTAGATCAAGGATATGTGTTACGAAGAATAACAAACTAGACGTAAGATTGTATAATTTATTTCAAAAACACGAAAATACAAATTATAAAAATATAAACACGAAAAAATTTAATAAAATATAAAAAAATTTTTACTTACCCACTGTTTTTATAGTACTGAAGAGTATCTGAATTTTATTAGTTAGTTATCAAATGTGAATATGTGCAGACATTGATTTTAACCTAAATAAATTAAACTTGTTCTATTTATATTTTAAATTTGTTTTTCTTGGCATATTTATTTTAGCGCAACAATTTTGTAAGTGTATTTTAATGTAAGTGTATTTTTAGGAACTGTATTTTATTATATGTAACTTTATTTTATCATTGTGACTGTATTTTATTGAAACTGTTTTTAATTAATTAATTGTTGATATCTACAAATTTGTGACTATGTACATAACTGTATTAATGTCAATAAACATACTACTACTATTATTATTATTATTATTATTATTATTATTATTATTATTATTATTATTATTATTATTATTATTATTATTATTATTATTATTATTATTATTATTATTATTATTATTATTATTATTATTATTATTATTATTATTATTATTATTATTATTATTATTATTATTATTATTATTATTATTATTATTATTATTATTATTATTATTATTATTATTATTATTATTATTATTATTATTATTATTATTATTATTATTATTATTATTATTATTATTATTATTATTATTATTATTATTATTATTATTATTATTATTATTATTATTATTATTATTATTATTATTATTATTATTATTATTATTATTATTATTATTATTATTATTATTATTATTATTATTATTATTATTATTATTATTATTATTATTATTATTATTATTATTATTATTATTATTATTATTATTATTATTATTATTATTATTATTATTATTATTATTATTATTATTATTATTATTATTATTATTATTATTATTATTATTATTATTATTATTATTATTATTATTATTATTATTATTATTATTATTATTATTATTATTATTATTATTATTATTATTATTATTATTATTATTATTATTATTATTATTATTATTATTATTATTATTATTATTATTATTATTATTATTATTATTATTATTATTATTATTATTATTATTATTATTATTATTATTATTATTATTATTATTATTATTATTATTATTATTATTATTATTATTATTATTATTATTATTATTATTATTATTATTATTATTATTATTATTATTATTATTATTATTATTATTATTATTATTATTATTATTATTATTATTATTATTATTATTATTATTATTATTATTATTATTATTATTATTATTATTATTATTATTATTATTATTATTATTATTATTATTATTATTATTATTATTATTATTATTATTATTATTATTATTATTATTATTATTATTATTATTATTATTATTATTATTATTATTATTATTATTATTATTATTATTATTATTATTATTATTATTATTATTATTATTATTATTATTATTATTATTATTATTATTATTATTATTATTATTATTATTATTATTATTATTATTATTATTATTATTATTATTATTATTATTATTATTATTATTATTATTATTATTATTATTATTATTATTATTATTATTATTATTATTATTATTATAATTATAATTATTATAATTATTATTATTATTATTATTATTATTATTATTATTATAATTTTATGTGAATTAAACTGGAATATGAGTGATTTATTTGTTTGCTTTTGTATTTAATCAACAAATGATAAACGAATATTTTTTTATGTATATTGATGTTTGTAAAATAACCTCTTTGAAACATTAAATTGATAGGTAAGTTAATTTTTAAGGAACATCGAAATGTATGTGATGAAATGTATTGTTTAATAAGATTTATTTATCTACAACTGTTTTCTGCAAAAATTCTAAGACAAATTTTGGCAGATGATAGATGGGTCAATTCTATTATATTTATTTTTTTTTTTTCTTAAATTAACATAGGCCCGATTGATTTTTGTTTAGAAGTTACAATTGCATCTTAAAAAACATTTGAATATTTTAATCAAAAGTAGGCTCATAAATAAAAATTCTGGTTGATATGACAAACATTATTTGGATTTATTATGATTATTGATTGGATACTTAATAGTGTGAAAGTTCTGAAAATAAAAAACGAATTTATTCTCAACTAAAAAGAATGAAGATATTAATGTGTTCGTATATGGGTATTCCAATAGGAACTCCAGACAAGCAGCTCGAGAATACGATGACACCTTTAAATACCTTCATCGGTATTATGGAGCTGCTTACCTGCAGTTCCCATTGGAATACCCATATGTACAAACAAAATATCTGGTTACACCTAAGTGGTAAATAAATACATTTTTCTATAAAATTTTCACAGTAAGTGTCAAATAAATAATAAAATTGCACAAACAATTGTGATATCAACTGCATTTTGATTTATCAACCTACTATAGATTAAAAAAATGGAAATATATTTTTAAATGCTTTTAATTTCTTAATAAAAATGAATTGCACACATGTTTATTTAGGAAAAAAAATTTAGAATCGGCCCAGTTTTCATCTGCCAAAGTTTGTAATAGATCTTGTAGAACACCTTGTATAACGTTACATATCAGTAATGGTATTGAATCATCTCAAAAATAAATACTAGTTGTTTTAGTTACAAAACAAAAATGAATAAAACATTATTATGATTCTGTATTTAAATCATCTCAAAAATGAACCAAGTCTGTTATAGTTTTGAAACAAAAACGTAACTTTGGTAACGAATACAACGATAATAAGTCAGAAATATTAGCATTTCAAAAACGCAAATAATATGTTTTAGTTTCGAAGCGAGAATGTACCTCAAGTAACAAGACTAAAACATTTTAGTTAGTACACAATAAAAACGTCTCAAACACGAAACTAATATGTTATAGTTTCATAATTGAAATGTTTATCTATAAACGTAACCGCGATTTTGTTGTTTGAGGACATTTTACGTAACCATGAATAAAAAGACGCTGTAGCAAATCCTTTTTATCCTCTTCGGGCCCACGTAACGCAAATGTGTTCAATTTTAATTTAGTTCACCTGTTGCCATCTAGGTTGTCATTTTAACTTAAGTTTTGGCCAAAATTTATCCACCTAGCCATAGATGGCGTTAAAATAATTTGTACACAAGTGTGAGTTTTGGGGCTATTTTATGTTTTACCCTCATAAATACCAATGTACATATTTGTGGACAAATTATCCATTCTTTGTTTAAGAAAAAATTAGATTACACTTTTTATTGTCAAGAATGCATTATAAAACATCGTTTTAATTGTTTAACTGTGAAATTTGATAAAACAATCGTGCTCTTTAACAACACATAAAAAAATATTGCAAGAAACGCACTTGACACGTGTACGACTTGTACAACCGGGATTCCTGCACCTCTGAGCCTCCTTTTTTCATAGCTTTTGGTAAGTGCAGGGCTTTTGACTTGGCAACCTCGGGGGAAGGTAATGGCACACTTCCAGGTCGACCCGGTGTTTTTCTCTGCACTGGAGGTTCAAATGCTTCATCATCTGATTCGGCAGTTAATATTCCTTTAATTAGAGCTTCTGCCACGCGCATTTTAAATCCAACTGAATCTTAAATGTCATTCTTTTTTACTTTTAGAATTTGGCAATCTTGTCTGTATTGAATCCACGAGTTGACTGTTGCACAATCCATAAAGTGCTCAAACCCTCTTACTGGTCATTTATTTGTTTTTGATAGCTTCTGTAAGCTGCAATTAGTCGATTCAGTAAATCAACCCCTCCCATGAAATCATTATAGTGCTTTACTACATCTGGTTGAGGAATGTTCAAATAACGTTGATCAGACTTTGAATATCTTCTAAATTGATGTATTGGATTAACGGTCTGTGCTGAAGAGGCCATTGTAATTGCCTTATTGTCCATCCATCTAATTAGTGTTAATTTTTTGTCCTCTCTGATTTTTGATTTAATTGTTCCCCTTCCTAGCTTTTTAAGTTCATAGTCTGTCGGAAAACCAACTTTAGGAAATCTGTTGGACATGGTAGTTCCTGTCCCCGAAATACCCTTTTCCTTGAGTTTGTCCAATAAAGTAACGCTTGTAAAGTACCGATCAAAATAAATGTTTGTACCAGGTGAACAAGTTTCACTCAAACGCAGCACTGCTCTACCCCCAGCACCTAAATTTTCCTTTTCAGTGTCTTGGGTAAAATTTGTTGTTTTACCCTGATAAATTTCGAAATCTAAAATAGCCACATTTTTGAAAGCTAAAACGTAGTTTTTAAGGCCAGTTGGATTGAGTTTCCGTGGGACATACTGCCGAACAACAACGTGACCAGAAAATGGTATCAATTGTGTTTGTCAATACTAACATTTTCCTCTCTCGGTAGCCGCAAAACTACATTATGAAAAGAATTTATTATTGGGCGAACTTTTTCTTCATTTGAAACAGCCAAGTTATTAACAACATGGAGAAAATTTCTTATTTTAAAGTATCTATTTCTGCTCATTGCATTAGCAATCAGTGGGATTTTAAATGATTTCGACCAGTACATGCGGATTCTGGGATAACGCAGAACACTCATTAATAGTGTTATTCCGACGTAGGCACGCATTGCCGTTTCGGTTACGTTAAGTAATTTATTACAAGACTGTTGAAAATGAATATATGTGTTTTCCGTTAGTCCCTTAAAAAACGTTTCATCGAAGTACTGATGGAAATAATCAATCGGATAGTAGTTTTGTCTGTTTTGAACATCGATTGGCAATGGAAGAAACTGTGGAAAATCAGTCTCCAAGTCGCAGTTTTCGTCAATATCATGCCACTTTTGTGCAGGTGTTTTTCGAGTTTTTCGCCTCTTGTCCGACTGATTAGTTGCAGGAGTCTTTTTTTGTTTTCTCTTCTTGGTACCTAATGTTGAATTGTTGAAAAATGAGCTGCTGACATCGCTATCATTGCCTTCTTGAACTGGACGAATGACATTTGGGAATAGTCTGCTTAGGGGAATTGAATCTTCCTCTTCTGAAGAACTTGATGAGTTGAGTTCGTCATTAGGATTCAAATTGGTTTCTACCACTGATGTTTCTTCATTTCTTGAAACGTCGCTGCTTGAGTCACTGTCGTAGTTGGCATTAGTAACTTCGAAGTCATTTTCGTCATCAGTGGCATAAAAGTCGCTATTTTCCAAAATATCCGCCAATTGCTCGTCAGTATAATAAAATTTCCGTCCTGAAAAAAAAAAACTATTATAGCCCCAATGTCCACATCTGTGTTAGTGGTTCTTGGTAGTATAATCCCAACGCACACAAATGTGTACAAATAAATTTGGCGACTTGTGAATCATAATCTAAAATTTATTTTTGGTATAGAGGTATTTTAAACTTTTCTTTAGTTCTTATTTGTACTATTTTACCACGTTGCCAGCCTACATATTTAATTTTCAAGCAAAGTTTGGTACTTACCGCGAACCGGTCTTCCATTATCGGAATCAGCTGTGCTGGTAGACGCCATGACACATTCACATCCGCACCTGTTGCAAATCTAAGCCGAACTAACGCTTTCAGGAAGTAAACAAACCATCAAGAAGAGGGAGTTAGCGCGCTAAATTTAATTTGCGTAAACGCTAAGGTCAAAGCATGACCTTCAATATTTCGTACACAAGTGTGTACTGAGGGTCCGAAGAGGATATAACGTAACAATGTAACTTAAAACATATATGATATGAAACTGGAATGTTATTTTGCTTAGTGGGTAGTCGCATCCGGTCATTGCATGGAGACCTGCCAAAGAACGGCACATTTTTTTGCCCAATTATACGATTAATTGTACACGTTACCGACATGACATGGGTATGACACTGATATATTCGTGCTTTTTACTTCAAAATACATATAAAAATACCGGTATGGCAGTGGGGCCTTTAATACACTTAACCTTTAAAAATGTAACAAATTTGGAAGCCAATATCTGACGTTGGCGACATCGCATCGGTATGATGCTATTAGAACTTTGTTGAGGACATCAAAATTAACAAAGGAGACACAGTTCCATGGTGGGGCCTATTATACATGTTAATTGCCAAAAATTACATCTTTGCCCCATTATGGCGGCCACTTGGTGACGTCCCAGAGGTATAGCGTTTTGAAATCTTTGTTCTACAGTTCATTATAAATAAAGATCACAAAACAACAGCGTGGGGCCCATGATCCATGTTCACAGTGGAAAAATTACACGTTTCGGTAAGTATGGCGGACCTTAAGTGACGCCATATTAGTATGGCATATTGAGTTCGCGGACTTTGGCAACCTCCTTGATGACATGAAACAAGAATCAAAGTGGGGCCTATGATCCATGGGCAAAGATATTAATTACACGTTTGAAAATTTACCCGCCCTAATAGCTAAACTTTAGGGGTGCCATACGGGGAATTCAAAGTGAGGAATAATGTTGCCCCCCCAAAGCCTTGGCGTGGGGCCTATGATGGATGCAAAAACCCTCCCGGCTCCCGGATTATAAGTGCTTGTGTGATTTTTGAAAGTTACTTGTAATAAAGTAGTTAAAAAAAATGAGTGTTCTGAAATATGCATGAAAAAATGCTTTGGGTTTTATCGTCAAGAAAATGGAAATTAATAGTTTTACCATTACTGATACGATGAACAAAATCAAAACTACTAGAACAATGTATAAATAATAAGAACATTCATTCGATTACAAATCAATAAAAAATAGAATTGGAGCAGAGGAATTGTATGTGCTAAAATTCATTTGATATAAAATAGCGGAATATATTATTTTTAATGGTATTATTAATATGAGGGACCTTAAAAAAATTTTAAATTTTGGTTAGATTACTTGTCGCATAGCTTTTATCACGTTTTAATAAATGTAATCGTGAACTTTTAACAGTACAGATCTAAGTTTTGTTCAATTTTTGTTAATCAACTAAAATTGTCACAATAGAATTTAGTGAACAAAAAAAAAAAATTAAAATTGTGAATTTATTATTGAGAAATCGCTAATTGGAATCTGAAAAATCAGTATATCTGGAAAATAAATGGATCAAATAAAAAAAATCTAATATTTTGAGAATGAATTATAAAACATATAATTATTTACTTAAAAAAAAAATGTCAACACCTTAAATAGCAAATACGAGTAAACCGATTGAAAAATGTTGTATATTAATACACATTGTGTCCCAAATAGTACAGAAATAGTACGCAAATAATAAGGAAATAGTATACAAAGTACGCAAATAGTACACAAAGTACGCAAATAGTATACAAAGTACGCAAATATTATCGAAATAGTACAAACTATGAAGACTAGAGAAAAGGAGGCGAATCGGCAATGGTCAAATTTCAAATTTCCATCCTTCTTTTTATAAAGTTCGTGAAATTGACTGTAGTTGGCATGTCTAATGACAGCGCAGTCAATTTTCTATGTAAGTCAATGTAAAATAAAGTGATTTTTTAAAAAATTGATAAAAATAATCAAAATAAAGTGAAAAAAAGTACCTGAGTACAAGTAACATGAGTGACAAAAAACATCAAAGCAAGATATAAGTCATTTCAGATTGTGAAACAGGATAAAAATCAAATGTAAAACTAAAGAAAACACAAGAAGAAATAAATTCAATGTATTTTTAAAGCTTTTGATGTAAGTAAAATAATGTATTCATGTCTAAATATAATATTTATTGTAAACTAGTCACAATATGTATCTTACGAAGTGTAGTTTATTTTATTGTAAGTTTCTATAATATTAAATTTTACAGTTATAGATGCTGACTTACAAACAGCAATAATTATGCATTAAAATAAACTTACTAAAAAAAAAATTATTTTTTATAGTTTTAATGTTAGATAAAGAGTTGTTACTGTTATTTTTTTTTGACCCCAATTGTGTCATTGTAAATGTTTTTTATAGAATAACTTAACGTTTAGAACAGTGGCAGCATATGTATCTTTCCTAGTGCCAAAAAACACTTTCTAGAGATTCTGCTGTTCTATATTTTTAAGAATTTAAGAATCAAATATTATGAGACTATTTTTACTGATGGTACTGTTAGCAAAATAAAAAGGGGAAAGCTGAAATTAAAGGATGAGGTAATATCATGTACAGTCCCAAATCTCCCTTTATACTTGTATTACAACAATAAAAATCTGTTAACTGTGTTTTATTTTACTCTTAAAACTATATATTGGTTCAACTAAAAAAAAAAATTGCACAAAATTGTACTTACAAATTTCAGCAATTAAGAAACATTTTCGAATTTGGTCATACATACCTAATTTGTATTTTATATAGATAAAATTAAATAATTTATCAATTAAAACATGCAAGACTTATTTAGAAATAAATACAACAGTATGTTCTGTGCTTTATTTAGCTGTAAACAAGTTTATTTTTATTATTTTGACAAAATTATGTATAATTCCCATAAGAAGTTAAGTATTTTGAACAACATATGCAGTACCAGCGCCCATGCGGTTAATTATAGAAGCTCAATTAGCATGCGTTTAATGGGACCGTATTTTGAGTATGCCGATTCGTTTCCTTATCTCTAGTCTTCATAGTACAAACATAGGTCACCAATGTGTGCCAAGTAGGAATTCTACAGAACCCTACAGTACCAGATAGTACACATTACATAAAATTACATAAAATTACATAAAATTACATAAAATTACATAAAATTACATAAAATTACATAAAATTACATAAAATTACATAAAATTACATAAAATTACATAAAATTACATAAAATTACATAAAATTACATAAAATTACATAAAATTACATAAAATTACATAAAATTACATAAAATTACATAAAATTACATAAAATTACATAAAATTACATAAAATTACATAAAATTACATAAAATTACATAAAATTACATAAAATTACATAAAATTACATAAAATTACATAAAATTACATAAAATTACATAAAATTACATAAAATTACATAAAATTACATAAAATTACATAAAATTACATAAAATTACATAAAATTACATAAAATTACATAAAATTACATAAAATTACATAAAATTACATAAAATTACATAAAATTACATAAAATTACATAAAATTACATAAAATAACATAAAATTACATAAAATTACATAAAATTACATAAAATTACATAAAATTACATAAAATTACATAAAATTACATAAAATTACATAAAATTACATAAAATTACATAAAATTACATAAAATTACATAAAATTACAAGAAAATATTGGCTTCTAAATATATATTTATAGGGCATTTAAAACTTTATAAATCTGAGAGAGTTTAAAAATAATATATAATTGCCTGACAGAAAACATGTTAGTTTATTTTCAATCTTGTAAGAAGGCATCAAAATATGTATATATGTATCTAAAAATGCCATTGGGTAATTTTTTTTAATGGGTTACCCGATATATTTTAGGATTTTTTTTTAAGCCTTGCTTCAAATACGATAATTTCCAATTTTTTAAAATTTTAGTTTAATAGAAAAATTAAGTGTTGCTAATGATAATAAAAATTTGGTAAAGCTTTATTTTGTAATTTGAATAGTATATTTAAAAAAATATAACATATACAGGGCACCCATTAAAAAATCAAACTCAATGCATTTCCAGCATAATCGGAAGTCGACCATTTTTTTAAAGTACAAGTGTCAATTTGAAAATGTCTAGTATGTTTGTTCCAAATTTTATCCTGATAGCTTTATAAATAAAGGAGGTAATAATATGGCCCTAGTCTCATTTTCACCCGGAATGCTGACAAATTTAAATCGACTAAAATTCTTAACTATTTTAAAAGAAAATTTTATATTTTTCTCGCCTTTTTAATGGTACCTATTTATGTAGTTTTAAGGCTACGATGTATGCCTTAAGAGCTCGGGTAACACTTTATCTGCATATGCCTATTTACAAAAAAATATATAGTTATACGTGATATTAATAATTTACAATATAAAGGACAATAAGAAAGTATACCTAATATTAACTTAATGCTCTTCTATAATAATCGAAGAGTCGTGAAATATTTAAATTCGTAACATGTGCGCATTATAATTCTATTGGCTTTATCTGAACTGTACAAATTTTGGAACCAAATAGGATTCCATGATCTAATTGTGACGCATTTCTGAGTTTTTGTTGGTAATTGTATATTCAGTATTCAAAATGACTCTGTCATATGTAAATTTTATTTTGTGACATTAAAAAATTGCTAAAGTTGAATCATAAATACATAAGGTAAAAGGTAAAAGGACATAGGTAACAATCTTGAAATACTTCTGTTTAATTTTACAATATCTGTAATATAATAGTGTATTATTTTTGATTTTTATAACAGTAATAACTTACATGAAATCACTTTTTTCTCCCATTATTCATTGCTCTAATTAGTCGTATAATACACTAAGAAAATTCGGCTTATACAAGTATCTACCTAAGATTTTTGACGTCATTATTCAATATCTATTAATAGCAAGTTTTTAAAAAACCTGCCATTATTTTATTGATCTTTCTGTGAGCATTGTAATACCCTTATTAGATAAATATTTGTCTTTAGTTTACAATTATTTAGCAGTTGTTCAATTAACTTGCTAATAATTTAGGAATAACCGTTAGTTGGCATTGACTAAAAATAATTCTAAAAAAAACTTGCAGTAATCTTTTAAATTTTAATACCGCCATCTACTAGTAGTAATAACAACATATATTTAAGGTTATTTTTTTAATTACTATTGGTATCTTCTATACCGATTGTCGGGTTGTACGCCAGGTTGAGTGACGTTGACATATATTTAGTTAAATACTATAAGATGACTAAATAAATCATAGAATGTTGTATACCATATTAAATAACAATATATTTCCAAAGATAGAATGCACTTCCACATGAAGTATCTAATAATTATAAACAAAAAATGCTGATTTCAAAAAGACATATGAACCCATCGACAGCAAATAATCTCCGCGAGTCCTACTACTATACTTCAACTACTACTGTTTGACTATCTACCGCCAACTAAATTTGTAAAATGTGATTTTCTAGTAGCTGTAGATCTATTACTGATCACCTTAAATAGATAGATAGATAAATATGATATATCGTTGTAATCTGCTTATTGAGAAGATTCTAAAAATGTAAAAATATACAGGATGTTGCATTTAAAATTCTGATGTTAAAGTTGGTGCAGCACTTTTCGGACACCATGTATTAATACAATTAAAATAATTGAAAAAATTTGTCTAAAACCAAGAAACTTTTGTGTTAACACTTTTTTTCTAAAGTAGGTATATAGTTTTTGAGTAAAAGTATAGGCCCCTCTAATAAATTACTCCGCCCCCTATATGAACCAAAATTTAATTGGATGAATTACAAATCTTTTTATTTATTTTTTTTTAATAAGACTTATTCTTTGTATTTATATTCATTTCGAAAAGCAGGTTATAACAATACGGTAAATCCTTTTTGGGAAAATAAAAGTGACAGGTTATTAAATTAATTTATTTTTCACTTGACAATAATTCGTTTGTTTTGCATCTAATTTGAAATACATAAATATCCCTAAAGGCTTATCCACAATGGGCTTACATAAAACATAACTTGACATAATTCGCTAGGTATCTCAGCTATGTAAAAAAGTTTTAAATTGAAGTGAAAAATAAAATGTAGTTAAACCTAATTTGGATAAACTTATTTTGAAATAATTTATACATTTAAATATATTAATTATTTTTATTTGAAAAGTTACAAGGAAAGTAACATGAATTTATTGTATCAGTATATTAAATAGTTAATTTCTATTTTTAGATGAGGGAATAGATAAAACTTCCTTTCCTTTATTGGATGAGAAAACAATAAACACACTGTTTCCAAAGACAGGTCCACGATTGATATTTAAAAACAAATTTAAGGAATTTCAAAATTTAAATGAAATTACTTTGTTGGTACTTATTTATTCATTTGATTAAGTTTTTTAAAATAGTTTTTAATTCAGTTTTATGAATTATTTGTGAAATGCAATAATTATTTAAATATGGAATATGTTTTTATGTTGTACATTTATTGTAGGATATTCCATTTGAATCTGTTAGCAAATTTATTGTTAACTTGAATCATGAATTCCGAATTGTTTTGTTTTTGTTCCTTAAAATAAAATTATTATTTTTCTTTATTTGATATAACCCATTCTCCCCCACACTTCCCCTTCTCCATATATAGAAAGAATTATTATATAGCCTATTCGCTGCTACTTTTATTTTATACCTAAGGTTATTTGAGCACTTGTCTGTGATTATTCAATTTTCCAGCTAAGGTTATGAGAGCATCTACCTGTTGCTATTTTATTTTATTACGCATATTATATAACCAGCTAGTTGTTGTTTGACGAATTATTTGCGATTGATCTATTGTAAAATTGACGTTATTAGATCGTCTACTTATGGTTATACTACTATTTATTTGGATATTTTATCACTAGCTTGGTGCTATTTAATCGTTTACTTGTGGTTATTCGATGTGTATGTTTCTGTCGAATAACTGTAAATATGTTACTGTATAAGGGCTATACGGTAAAAGAATAAAATACTCAATTACAGAATGATTAAGGGTTATTCGACCATTGACTAACGGTTATTCGATCATTTCAGCAAGATCAAACTAATAATGACAAGTTAATTATTTTGCTGTCATCCAGATATCTATTAAGGGTTATTTGATATCGACTAACGGTTATTAGATATTTTTTTTGGTGTAGTAGTAGAAATTTTCATTGTCGCAAATTGGTTGAAACTTCGTATTTTGCTCGAATTAAAGTATATGAATAATAATTATAAAACTTTTCAGACATAAATTTCAGGCAGGAGGAGATGTAGTCACTCCAAAATATGATTTATTTTATTTCTTCACAAATCAAATCTACTGTTATGTTTCCAGCAAGTTTATTGAGCCTTTCGATGTTCTTTCTATATATTTTCTATACGGGATGTTCCTTCAAAACGAAGCATTATTTCAATATTTTTAATTTTACTTTTTTGTTTAAAATTACTTCCAAAATTAAAAAAAAAAACAAAATCCTAGCACTACAGAAATCGCAATCTCTTTTTGTTAAATGTGCGATTTCGATGGTGCTGCTCGAGCTGCGCGACTAGAGACGCTGGCCGCGGCAGCTGTAGCCCCGATGAAAATATGTTTTCGGTGACGCAGTTCTAGGCAGCCGTTGACTGCGGACTGTAGCATTTTTGTCATTTTAAATTTTTGCTAGATTATTTCTCGAATAAATAAGTCCATAACAAAGATTAAAAACACAAAATATAAACATATATAGGTATGACGTAGGAACCGAAAAAAATATTCGCTGTTAAATAGCTCTTGTGAAATATTAGCTGGTAAACAAGCTCTAGTGAAAATGCCTCTAGTTTGTAGACAATTCGGAGCGTTCCCGCCAGTTTTCTGGCAGACGACAGCCAGTTTTTACCGGATTTTAGTTTATATGAGAGGAAGGGTAGTTATTCCGATAGGTATGTGGTAGAAAAATTAGTTAACAACTATAACTACGCTATTAAAATTTACAAGTCATTTCGCAGATTTTGATTTAACCATTAAAATAGCATAAATTTGTTTACAATATGATACTAACCTTCTTTTTGTAATTCTTTAGCGACCTTTTTTCAACAATTTTCCTTAATAACAAAATTTTTGTCTTCATAATCATAAATTACGGGATATTTTTGTATTTCGTTGATTAAAATTTCATCGTCATTTGACGTAAATGGCGCCATTTTTTGCCCTAGTCACTACGATTTCAGCCGCTCAACTCCTTCGCGAGCAGTCGAACAGCAGCCGCTGCAGCGCGGGTTTTCGCCGCTTTAGTAGCGCTGCGCAGCCAAATTGGTTCCATTTGAACCTGTACAAACCAGTGCAGCGGCTGGAGACGCAGCTGCTAGCCGCGTCACCGAAATAGCACAAATGGCGTGCTAAAGATCACTTGCGGCTGGTCGAGAGAAAAGTTTTTACAGGGCGTGCTACCTCGAATTGTCGTCCGTTAATTAAATTACACGGTCAAAAATGTCTCCATAACATGTTTGATTGTCAAACAGGAGCATATTATAAAAATTTCATGTAAAAAATAAATTTTACCTGAAATTTTTGTCCGACAAGTTTTATGGTTATTCAAATACTTTAATTCAAGCAAAATACGAAGTTTCAACCAATTTGCAATAGTGAAAATATCGACTAGTATTGTATGACTTTTGCCAAATGTTCACTAGCTCCAACTAATTATACAGTATTGTTTTACTTTATTTTATCATTTATTCTTCATGAATAGCACATGTGAGCGCCGGCGCAATATAAGTGTTGAAAAAGTGAAAAATAGGTTCGAATTCTCACACATACCTACATGTTCTATAATACACGTAAATAATTACACCGATCAATAGCTTACTAACTACTAGCCGGAGCCGAGAACTGGCACTGTTTACAGAAACAAGTAGCTATTAAAATTGCCCAATATAATGAAGTCATTAGTAATATTATAAATTCAGGAGTTCAGTATATTAATATTTTAAATAATAATGAGGTATCAGAGTTCGATCTAATTTTAGGAAAAGTAAATAAAACAAAAATAGAATATTTTTTCTACGATTGCTATACAAAGTTACATTTTCCTACATTAGGAGAAATAGCTGTGAGAAATCATTTCTAATGACGCCCTTCTTAAATAAACTTCAAAATACCTACCTTAATAAGAAATATAATTTACAGTTACCTCTGACTATTGTATTATTAAAACTGTCAAATTAAAAAAACATTTTGTAATAATACAATTTAATACATACCTTTGTAGCGCAATGTGTATCAGACGGCCTGTAAATATAGTCCGTCATTTAGTAAGAGTTTTAGGTGCCTCATTTTTGCACACAGGGTTGAAATGTTCATCGATTTTAAGTAGAATAGAAATTTACAAGTGGTCCCGGGGATAACACATGAAAAATTCGATTTTCCCTAACAAAAATGAACACTGGTTAACAAAATTTTAACTTTTTTTTTGTAACATGAAAACTTATATCAAATTTTGAATGTACTAGGGCCACCAAACAATAATATGTAAATAAAATTGACACGTCAGGTTTCCTTATGACATCAAAACATATATTTTCGTAAAAAGTACAAACATCAGCTACATTTAGAGAAATTATTGCTTGATATAGAATAAATACTTATGATTTTCGTGAATATTTGGCTCCTGAAAGGTCTTTTTTAAGTCTCCAACAATAATCTGCTAGCATTCCTGGACTCACATTCCCTTGATAGCGCTTCTCCATTAACTCTGCTACTGCACACTGGGGTCTAGAAAACCCACGTGCACTTTATATTCTAGCTTGTGTGCAGTGTTTCGATTGTGACCTTGGACCAGTACCATGTAAATTCAGTAAACAGTTGTATACGAATGAGGCAGGACGCAAAACATTTTATCGCTTATAGGTAAGTGGTAAAATTTAATTTTAGCTGCTCCTTGGTTACTGAAACCCCAGTGTGCAGGATTAAGTTACATATTTTCTATTAGACATTTTATTTTCTATTATTTTGTAGGAAGATGTCGAGGGCTAAAAGGAACGATAATCGTCCGGTAACAGATAAAGAACTGCAGGAGATTGTAGGTAATCTTGGGAACAGTCCAGATCATGAAAATGGATATGAAATTGGAGAATTTTCGGATAGCGAAAACGATTATGAGACGGAGGAGGATGAGGAAGACGATGAACAAAGTGCTTGTGAAAATAAACAGAACAGTGATAATGAAAATAAAGAACACAGTGAAAAGGAAAGTGAACAAGCTGGTGAGAATAACAGTAAACAAGTTAGTGGAAATAACAGTGAACAAAACAATGCTAATGAGAATGAACCAAGCAATGAGCAAAAGAGACCTCCAAGAGCGACAAGAGCGTTCTAAGAGGTAAAAATAACCACCTGTGGTCATCTGTAGTTCCTCAGAGGAGAGGTCGTTTGAGAGTTGACAACATTGTTTTACATTTACCCGGCCCTGAAGGTGATGCTAGAAAAGAAGAAACCCCCTTAGAAGTTTGAAATTTAATTATCAGTGAAGATATAATTAAAACAATTACCATACGCACCAACGAACAAATTGCGAGAAACCACGATGAGACTAATGAACTCAGCTACACCAAAACCACAAATGTTTTTAAGGTAAGAGCTTTCATTGGTATTCTCTATATAGCGGGAGCTTTGCGTGTCTCAAATTGCAGCACAGAAGAATTGTGGTTCCTTGCTTTTGGGATTGGAATTTTCCGGGCAACCATGTCTCACCAAAGATTTTAGTTTTTAGCTACTAACTTACGCTTTGATAAAAAGGCTGATAGACATATACGATGTCAGACTGATAAATTTGCTCTAATTAGTTAAATATGGGATGTATATATAAGCAACTGCAAGGTATACTACACATCCTATGAATATTGCGTCACAAGATGGCGGGCGATGTAGACGCGAGCAAAAGTGATCCGACGAAAACAAGCAAATATTGCAAAAAATCCGTAGTAAATTCAATTGTAAAGTGCATAACTTGTGAGGGTGTGTTTCATAATTCGTGCGCTTTAAGAATAGCAGGTCTAATGGCTGTAGGTGAAAAAAATCAGGTGAAATGCTGTTCAAAATATGTTGAGGTTAAGTTAGGAGAGGCAGAACTTACAGAAGGAAAAACGTCTGAAATCATGCTTAAACTATTAGAAGCTAAAGGTGACATTTTAAAAGGTAAAGATGAAATAATTTCCGGGCTGAGAGCAAAGGAAACCTTATTATATACAAATTTAGAATTGCTACAAGAAAAAATAAATTATTTAAAAAAAAAGCAGAAAGAAGAAAAGGAAGAGAATAAAAAAGGTCAACACCAACAAAAAAGTGATAGTGATAAATCTGATAAATCTACAAAGTCGATTTCTTCTAATCAAACTGCATTAAACTCTGACAGTAAACAGCCACTTCCACAGCAACCAGTTTTACAAGCTGGCGAAGGCCATAACCTTAGTAGTGTCAAAAATTATTCTTCTGTTTTAACGAAACATAACCCTCAAATAAGTAATAGAAGGGAAATGTTCACACAACAAAAAGTAAACAGTGCCGTTTTACAGGCTCGGATGACTAATAACATGCGAGAAATTCAACAGTTAGGAGGTCATACTCAAACATCCGACACAAATAATAATACTAATGAGTGGCAGGTAGCCAAACGAAGATCCCGGCGATTTGTTGTAGGCCGCAATGAGGATATCAGTCAAGTACAAGCTGTTCCAAAGTTTGCACTATTTCACGTCACCAGACTCACGCCCGGAACTAAGCCTGAGCAACTAAAGGCTTTTTTGGAACCGAATTTCCCAGGAGTCCAATGTGAAGAGCATTCCTCTAGGTACCTCGAATATTACACATCAATGAAAGTCATTATAAAACAAGACGATGCAAAAGAGGCCTGGAAACGAGAAGCTTGGCCAAATGGAGCAGTTATCTCGAGGTTTTTACCCAAAAAGAGGATGCCACCAACACAGGAGGATCCTCAGTCAAAATCCCCCCACAACCAAATGATGTCTTAAATAAAGTTTATACTTCCATAGATAACACATGCACAGGGAGGAATATAGACTTCTATATAAGCACCACTAATTTGGAGGATAATCCGTTCAAGCTCAAGAATGAAAACTTTGTTTTTTCAAAAAATAATTCAATCAGTAATGTTATGTTAAATGACTTGATTCAAAATGGGGCAGTGAGTATGTTCCATCTTAATGTTCAGTGTCTGTCTAACAAGGTTGAAGTACTTAACTTGTTTCTGGCTTCTTATTCCTTCGACATTTTTTGTATTTCAGAGCACTGGCTAAGTGAGGGTAACCTTCTTACTATCAACTTACAGGACTATGTTCTGGCAACTTCTTTTTGTAGGGAGAAAATTAAGAAGGGTGGAACAGCTATATTTGTTAAGCAGGATTTTAAATTTAAACCTCTGAACTTAAAAATGCACAATATTGAACAAAGTTCTGAATTTTGCGCAATAGAGCTGCTGAATGAGAAATTGATAATCTTGACAATCTATAGATCAGGTAAAGGCGATATTGACACGTTTTTATTCAATTTTGAGAGTCTCTTAAATAATGTCATAAAAGCAAATACAAAAATTGTAATATTGGGGGACTTTAATATAGATTTTAAAATAAATTCCAATTCATTAAAAAATCTCAAAAATATATTCTCATCTTTTGGCTTATACTTTACCATTCAAGATAATACACGAGTGACTGCAACTTCTGCAACTTGCATTGACAACATTCTCACGAACTTAAGTAAAGAGAATGTTGATACTGGGGTCTTTGAGCCTTGCATATCGGACCATCGTGGTCAATATCTTCTACTTAGAAAGTGTTTAAAACAAAAAAAAGATAATAAGACCAAGAAAAGAGTAATCACTAAAAAGGGGTTATGTCAATTAAAACGGGAACTCATAGATATAAATTGGGGAATGTTTGAAATAAATCAAGAGATCAATTTCTTGGGCTCTTTCTTAACTAACACCTATAGCAACTTAATCGCAAATAATTTTCCATTAAAAACTTACTCAGATAATAACACTAAAAAGTCACCTGCAAATTGGTTCAGTGAAAATTTAAAAACTATGAGAAATGCCATGTTTGCACTCAAGACAATCTCTGAAGTTACTAGGGACCAAGATGATGTGCAGATTTTTAAAAATTATAAAAAAGAGTACCACCTGAACATAAAAGAAACTAAAAAAGCTGCCTAGGATGCTTACATTTCTAAAGCTGAAAATAAATCCAAAGCTTGTTGGAATATCATAAATTTCGAAAGAAACAAAATTAAAGCAAATTGTCCTAAACTTGACTTAAGTCCGAATTCACTTAATAATTTTTATTCAAATATTGCAGAAAACATTATAAAATCACTTCCTACTATCTCTAATCAAGATTTGCTGAATTACAGATATTTTCCAATGCCATGTAGTTCCTTTTTTCTGTCTGCTGTATGCGAAGAAGAAGTCTTATGCGTAATTCGATCTCTAAAAAATTCCAACTGTTTAGACACAAATAACCGAAATAGTCTCATCATCAAGGAAACCTCTTGATACCATTGTTAAACCCCTAACTATCCTTATAAACTTGATGTTTAGTACTGGGGTCTTTCCAGACTCATTCAAATCTTCAAAAATTCTTCCTCTGTATAAAAAAGGGGATACTTCTCAGCCAGATAATTACCGTCCCATTTCAATCATCTCTATCTTTAGTAAAATAATAGAAAAACTCATCAAGGATCGTTTATATGAGTATTTTAATAAATATAATTTTCTTAGTAAATCTCAGTTTGGATTTCGGAAAGATCACTCTACGGCACAGGCAGTATTGAATATTGTGGGAGATGTGGTGGAGAGCCTTGAAGGAGGTAACTATACAGATATCAGTCTGTGTGACCTTTCAAAGGCTTTTGATTGCGTCTCCCATAGTATTTTACTGGAAAAACTATATTTCTATGGTGTTAGAGGGACAGCATTAGCACTTATCGAGTCGTATCTCACAAACAGACTTCAGGCTGTATATTGTAATAATACTTATTCTGACTTTAAACCAGTTAAACACGGCGTTCCTCAAGGCTCCGTCTTAGGACCCTTACTCTTTATCATTTACATTAATGATCTTCCAAATTTTATGTATCCGTACAAATCTGCTATTTTTGCAGACGACTCCACATTTATCTACTCTTCTAAAGACACTGAGAGTCTCGATTTAGTATCAAAAGATTTACACTCAAAAGCTGAAGAATGGTTTCTAGGAAATAGTCTTAAATTGAATAATAATAAAACCCAAAATCTTTATTTCACTACGACCTACTCAAAGAGTGACACTCAAAGTGTAAAGCTGCTTGGCTTATTTGTAGATGAACATCTTAATTGGAATGTCCATGTGGAATACCTAAAAAGTAAGTTAGCAACGGCACTCTTTGTTTTAAGGCAGTTAAAAAATTCAACAAGCTTTGACGTACAAAAATTGACCTATTTTTCACTTTTTCACTCGCATATATCCTATGGCATTGTTATATGGGGAAATGCTTCTGCTGCATTAGACATTTTCAGATTGCAAAAGAGGGCCATAAGAGTATTGTGTGATGTTGGGTTTCGTGAACCTTGTAAAACTTTATTTATTAAACTTAGGATAATGCCTTTACCTACATTATTTCTTTATTATATGCTTGTGGAGATTCACAAAAAGAGGAATTTTTTGGGGAAAAATTCGGATGTACATAATCACAACACTAGATTTGCCACAAATTTTAGAAATAAACGATATCGTTTAACTGAATCTCAAAAAAATTCACTAACTTTAAATTTCTACAACACATTACCAGACGAAAATTATCCGAACTCATGCACAATACCAATCGCAAACTAACTTTTAATAATTGGTTCACTTCGATTCCATTAGCTAATCTTTTATCTGAGCAATATAAGTTAACAATGGTAGGAACTTTGCAGAAAAAAACAAAAGGGAAATTCCGCCTAGTTTCTCGTAAAAAAAAGGTAGGGTCGTCGTTATTCGCTTTCGATAATAACAAAACTCTGGTTTCCTTCACACCTAAGAAAAATAAAAATGTGCTTCTAATTTTCACCTTACACCATGACGATTCTATTGATTACGAGACAAATAAACCAACTATAATTGAGACAAACAACACAACTAAGATACCTTCGATCAGTTTTGCCATTCATATACCACAGCACGAAAAACAAATAGATGGTCTATGCGAGTGTTTTATGGTATGCTTGATGGAAGTAGTATCAATTCTATGATTTTGTTTACCTTTGCTAAGGGAAAAAAATCGGACACGCAGGAATTTCCTAAAAGAGCTGGGAATGTCCTTGGTAATCTAATTTTTTAGAGAACGACTACGGTTGCCAACTCTTAGAAGATCACTGAGTCGAAAGATAATGGAAATCTTGAATCAGCCTGTGCCAGATCCTCCACCAAATGACGAAAATTTGTGAAAAGTTCGTTGCAGTTTTTGTGATAGGAAAAAAGACAGAAAAACAAATATGCATTGTAGCGTGTGCCATAAATCGTTTTGCAATTAACACAGGGCAAAGGTATGTAGGAGCTGTGATATTGATTTATCAGCTTGATTTATTAGTCTGACTAAGAAAATTTTTTCAATTGCACAATAAAAAAAAAAAACATTTTATAAAATGTTTATACTTAGAATTCGAAAATTTTAGTTTTTGTTATTTTTTGTGAATTTCTAAAAATCATGCATTTTGATGCAACTTTTTTCCTTTTTTTAATTTTATATTTTTAAAATAAAAACATTTGTTCAGGCTACTTTTTAATATGTTATATGCTCTCCAAAATAACCACTTTAACCATTCCATGTGTAAAAACAATAAAAAAAATATTACCAACTTAAAGAACTCCATTTTATTTATTGGGTTATTGAGACCCCAATGTGCAGTTTATGTCTTGAAAAATAAGTGTGCAGTAGAAGGAAATGTCTTGATGAAACCTCTGGCCTTGTTCGTCACTCACAGCTTTTAAATTTGTTAAAAATAAATCCAGACGAGAGTCCAGCATATGTATTTTTAAGGACGTATTACACCCCAAAGCTTTATATGACATTATAAGTTTGTAATTTTCGGATTTATGGTTTCTTAGAAAATTTTGAACAACGTTAAGAAAACATTTCCAGGCGAGTTTTTTCTGATCATTCTATTTTTCTTCAAAGCTCTTATCCTTTATCAGTTGCCATATTTGTGAAACTACAAATATTCCCTCTTTAATTTTTGCAGGGAATTTCTCTTTTAGATATACAAATCCACTGCCATGTTTGGGCATAGCTTTTAGAATGTTTTTTATCAGGCCGAGCTTTATGTGCAACGGTGATGAAAGAATGTCATCAGGGTTCACCAAAGGATCATTTTTAACATTTTTATGGCCTGGAGTGAGCGATTTACGCTTGGGCCACACTTTCTTTGTATAGTGATTTTTACTGTCCCTACTGTTCCATTCGCAAATAAAACATCAAAATTTTGTGTAACCAAGCTGTAGTCCAAGCAAAAGTGCAATGACTTTTCCAAGCGTGTTTACTGTATTTAATTTTTTCAAGAAGAAATCTTATATTTTCATAAGTATCTTTCATATCAGAACCAAGAGCAACCGGCACTGAAGGAAGTTTATTATCGTTATGCAGTAGCACTGCTTTCAAACTGGTTTTTGAGGAGTCAATGAACAATCACCAGTGATTTGGATCATATTCAAAATTTATTAAATTCATCAAAACAGGAACGTTATTACAATAGACTAAATCACCTGCTTTAGAAAATAAAAAAATTTCGTATCAGGACAAAGTAAATTTCAGTTGTTTAATCTAGACCCCAAAAGCTCAGCCTGGTTTTTAGAAAGATTCAAATCACGTACTAAATCGTTTAAATCACTTTGTGTCAATAAGTGTGATTCTTTTAAAGTTACGGTTTATAATTTGGGTCACTAGATACTTTATCGTGTTGACTTAGAGCAAGTTCCGGAGTAGAATCCTGATGAAT